TTTCTTGTAAAGCGGTATGATTACCGATTCACACGCTTCAGCTGGATCTTGTTCGCTCTCCCACACCGTCCCCGGACGCTTTGTTAACTTCGATCTCCTCTCAGTTTATAAGGAGGCGTGGTGCGGTAAACAACGAGTATTCATGAATGACACTTCTCTTATTCAATGAAGCCTAACCAATCGAATTCATTGTGACAATTTTCATTCCAAGGGACATTCCAAGAAACACGATACTTTTCGTTGGTGTTACTCAAAAGCTTACTGTATTTTTCTTATTCTAAATCACCAGCACTTGAATGTCTTGTACATGCCGTCTCTCGGCATCATAATCTTTAAGCTAAACTAATCGTACAGTGGCACAATATACGTGACCTTTCAAATTCAATGTAACTTCATATTGGCGCCATAGGCTTTTTGAATCCTTCTTATGCTACTTTGGCCTTGTAAATGCGCTAGATATTTTCCCTTTACTGCACTGCAGTCAGTGGTCACGCAAACGCTTAGGTTATAGAAGTAATCAACTGATCTTCGGGTTTCAAAGTAGGACTACTTGACAGTCAGCCATGTGGCCGTACATTGCACTTCGAAGGTGCAAAGGGCGTCTCGAACGGAGCAGTAGAACTTTTTAGTCTATCAGACCTGTTCCTTGTGTGTCCTCTATACATGCATTACTTACAGCATAAGCTCTACCAGCGGAGGTATGATGTCTCTCCGATAGCTCCGATCTTTTCATATTGAATCACTCACCCAACTAGCATACGAAGACAGACACATAAATTAACCCACAAGCTCTCTGTCCTGGTCGGGAAATGAAATGTACGTTGATCTTATCGTGGGTTAGGAGACAGACGCTAGTCATTCATATTTTTGTTTCGTTCAGTACAAATTCATTAGGCCCCGTGATCCATTTATTCAGTTTACTAGGAGCAAAGTACTCATTGTTTTTCATACATTCTGTCTTGATAGAACACTCTTCTGTCAACCAGTTTACCTCGTGGAATCATAGTCAAAGCATTCGAGGACCGTATTGACCTCTATTCGCTGATGATTGTCGGTTCGGCTGGCACACCATACGAATACGGTTTGTTCTTGTTCGACGTCCAGCTTCCCGCTCAGTACCCATCCGTTCCGCCTCAGGTAACTACGTTCTGTAGGTTGAGTAAATACCCTAGCAATTTACTACAACTTTCCTGTGTTGCCGTTCCATATTTCTGTTTTTTTTTGCGGAACGGAACTGGTCGACCTGTTTTGTTTGTGTTTGACACTGTTTCACTTTTTTCTGCACGGCTCACACTGAAACTTGATTACTGCAGGTTAAACTTCTGGTGTTTAACTACCTGAAGACTCTATAGACGTTCAATGTTCACTGTAATGTCTTTCAACTTCAGAAAACTATCTAGAATCGGTCTCGTTCCGGAGTGCCTCTGTTGATCTATTGCTCTGAACCCGAAGTCTACTCTAACTTATCTGTCTTTCTCTCACTATCAAGTGACACTTAATTAACTCTGACAAAGTTGCTGTCGTTTCTCATCAACCTCGACATAAATTCCCTCAATTCCAATTTCTTCTTGGCCCATATCGCATAGGGGCTAATCGGTGTATTTTGCCATTCTGTAGTGTTCGCCTGTTAGAGGTGGAAGAGGGTATCCTCTTTTCCTCCTCCACCAGGTTCTATCTACGGTAACCGTGTTCAATAACCCAGTTTTCCTTTGAAATATCCCTCTTTACCAGTTGTTTCTTTCTTCAGTGTGTGTGTATTTTTACATCCCCGTGCGGCAACCTTTGTAAGAGGTCCGCCCTCTCAAATAACAGTCATCGAATTGCACTAAAATCTTTTGAGTGCGTTCTTTTTATCTGTGTAACCGTTTTTTCAAACCATAGCTCAGACCTGAGATGAGAATATATACAATCCTGGGTAATAACAGTAACCATTAGTCGGGTCATAGGTTTTTTTCTTTCTTTTTTGCGCTGGTTCACAGTCAATTTCTAGTTTTGCATCCGTCATCTGCCTGATATTTCTTGCCCTCATCATTTTCATGTCCCTATGTTTTGTCAAACGTTTTTTTTATTGTCGTACCGTAATGCTGAATCGTCTAGAGCTGTACCTTATGTCATCACCGAAACAATATCTTTCCGTGGCTTGTGCATCTTATTCAATCGGTATGAATACAAACTGGGTTTGCTGTGTTGACACCACTTGTAAAAGAACTCCGGAGGCGGAAATCAGACGGTGGTGGTCTAGCGGTCAAGATTGCAGCCATTGACATGCTCTCGTCTGGAATTCGAATCCTGATTTCGCCCCCCCCCCAGTTTGATGATAA